AAGGAAAGTCACTTCCTCTGTTCTTACTCTTTCTTGCACACAGAAAGCATACAGTAATATGATACACAGAACTACTCAATGACCAAATCAATTTCTTTTAATTTAAATTTGTGTACATTTCTAATATTCAAAATGTTGGCCTATTTGAAGATGTACCTTTCATCACTGCTACTTTTCTATACCTTATTGAACACAATTAATAACTCTCTTAGCTGTAGCACTTTATCTGGAGTGAATGAAGCAAAGAAATGCAAAGAAAATGGGCAGAATACAGCTGCTTCTCAGAGAGTGCTGTAGTCTTCCCCAGTTTTGTTGTGTTTATTCTTATTACTTCATTTGATTTCCAAATGCATGACAAGAACAAACCTTTTGCATTACAAAAACATATATGGACAGAATTTCAATTCACCTGGCAGACTATTACTAGCTCTGTTTTTAGCCTGAATAGGTAACTAATCACATCACTGGACAGGCTTTTATTTTCTAAGTTATGGCTTTGGAATAAAGAACTTCCCCTAAGCAGAAAGCGAGAGCTGCCTCTACCAGGCCTCTGCTGTGCTCCATCTCCCTCCACACCACATTCATCAGATCACCACATTATTTCAGTGTCTCATCTGTAAGCACTGTGCTAGTGACCCCTACTGCCTTTCTGCTTTTAGGGTGCTCCTGTGCCTGGCTAGGAAGTTCTCAGTGGCACCTAAATTAAGCTAATTCAATTGTGCTGTGCACCTAAGGCACACAGCTGTAATTCAGCCCCATACAGGAGGTGTAGAGCATCACAGTGATACTCAGAAGCAACTAATGGAGTGTGAAGCTCCAAGGCCCAGTCTCTGTGATCCCTAAGGTGCTCCTAAGTAAGACACTGTTAGTGCAGGTCATAGATCTCCTCAGTATGACAATTCTTCAGGAGTGAATTTCTCCAGATGCAGTCTGATTCAAGATAATGTGATTATCTTTACATTAATACAGAGCAGCATAAAGTGTATGCCTTCAGTGGTAGGACACACAGTATTTCTTCTTTCCTGATTTGTTTTTACTCCACATTCTTCTCTGATCTTCTCTGCTTTGGCAGAGAATCAGCCATACAACCCTAAAACAGCTTTCAGATTTTGGAGTATTTACATTCTATAAATGAAAGCAATAACAAAGAAAAACATAGTTTTAATAGTGAAAGAAAGTTTGGAACTTAACCATGCTTGTAAAGACTGTGTTTCCTCTGTCCCAGAAGCAGCCCAAAGGCTGCTATGAGATGGCAGCAAAATCATGATTCTCACTACAAGGAAAAGAAAGAAATCAGGGGAGTTTACATAAAACAAGGTGGAAGAATAGGCTTGATTGTGAAAAATGTTTTTTACGGGATCTTTGAGAACACCAGCAAAATTGTCTTCCACTTCTTAAAGGGACAAAATAAGGGCTTTCTGAGGCTGATAATGTTCATAATGTTCATATAATAACATTTGAGAAACTATATCACAGTTCATGTGATAGAATCAGAAGTCTGAAAATAAACCCCAAATATGCAATTAGAAAAACATAGCTTTTCCAGCCTAAAATTGCTAAGTGGCAATGTGACCTCTGCAAATAATGATCTAAGAACCCTGTTTTAGCAGAAGCAACATATTTTTAATTAAATATATACTTTTAAAAAATCACATGCCACATACACAATGGGTTCTTATCATTATTGAAATTCCACACCATTCTTGCTAGGCTAATGCAATCTCAAATTTTTTTTCATCACTGTATTTGTAGGATAAATCAATATAGTGAAGAATAGAGGAATTTCTGGGAGAAAAAAAAAGGCATGCCTCCCCATTTTATCATCTTTCTGGGTGTGTATTGGTTTTATCTATTAGGATCGTCACATCCCCTTGTTTGCAGGGTATTTATGTCTCCACACTTCCACCCAAAGAGTCTGTAGGGAATTCAAAAATTTGGTTGTATCTTGTACTGGGCAGCCACTGACAATGTCTTTCTTGGTCCAGCAGCCCCCACTACCCTTTTTACTCTACATTTCGGAGGTGCAACCAACCACTCCGTTTTATGGAAGAAGAATTTTGGCAGGTCCAACCCTGACACCCAGTGGCCTCTACTGTTCCAGCTCTTACAGCCTCCTAGGGTCTCCACCTATTGAAACCTGGCTTGAAGGGATACGGTGTTGCTCTCCAAACAGATAATTTCGGCACTAAAATCAGCACATTTATGTGATTTCCATAAGTAAGCATCCATTATTGTATATTCTGATAATGATATTCAATGGTATTCAGTACAAAAACCTCAACATATCTGAAAATGCTGCTTTTTCAGGAATCCTAGTCATACAAGCATATTACCACTGAGCAATAATCCTCTCCCTATATATATGCATCTCCTTTCCCCCACTCATTTATATTCCTAAACTTGAAATGAAAGTGCCCTAGCGTAGGCATTAATTTTGTACAAAATGGACCAAACAAGAAAAAGAAGGCCCAACAACATATTTTATTTTTATAAAGAACAAGAAATGAAGAGAAAGTGAATATAATTGAATATAATTCTTGAAAGATAGCAGATGGAACTTTTTCGTTTTAGATTAAAATTGAAGTTAAGTAATTACTTGTAGATAATTGTGGTTTGCCTGTCAGCTGGAAATTTTACTACCTGTTTTTTCTTCCTTAAATTGGTAAGCTTGTCTGGCAGTCTCAGAGGTTCTTGACCAAAGCCAATATAGAGTGAAGTTTTGGTGTGCTTTCCCAGAGTTCTGGATGCCTGAATGCAGCATTTTAATCTGGCCCAGTAACAAACTTGCTGAAAATTTCAGATTCACACTTCTCAGTCAAGTTTGAGTTTTTTTGTTGTTTGTTTGGTTTTGATTAGTTGGGCTTTTATTGTTGTTGTTTCATTGCTTTGGTTGGCTGGGGATTTGTTGTGGTTTATTTTGGTTTTGTTTTTAGTTTGTTTTTGGTTTTTTTTTTTCATGAGAACTATTACACCTGTTTAATTTAATGCAGTTATTACTCCTAGAAATTGCAACATCAACAAGAGATAGATAAGCTTCTGGGAATTTTTCTACTCCAAAGGCTATTTAAATCAATACATCTCCTGGTTTAGAGTTTCCAAGAGGATAACTTCCAAACAGCTGTGAGGGCAGCCCTGTGTGTCACTGTGTTGGCATGGAACATCTATTAAAAGCTAGCATTCTTCTTGCTATCCCACTCTTTAAAAAATGCCATTTAAAAAATAAATGAAAGCTCTTCCTTGTTGAGAATATGTCCTTTTTTGTCTTTCTGTAAGCCAGCATACATAGAAACTCCTAAAGTGTTGTGTTTGTTTATTTTTCCTCTTCTGGTCTCTCTGAAAGCAACCGCAGAATGCAACTGCTATATCCAGCTGTGCAATCTGCTTCCAGCTAAGTAAGCCTTGGTAGCAATGACTCAACAGATCCTCATAAAAATAACAAAAATAAAAAATTATAGTCCTCACTTAGTTCTTTGCACAGAAGGGTAAGGACACTTCAGAATGTTGTTTTTACATTGCTTTATATGGCCTTGGTTTTATAAGACACTCACTTTTAAACAAGGGGCATAGAATCATCTGTGTTTTCACACAATATTTCTGTGGATTTCTTTTTGACTACAGGGCATTTACAAGGACAGGAAGAAATAGCTCAGTCCTATTGAAAAATTTTTGGCAATGTGTCTTTCCTATTTTAAAACAAATAATTAAAAACATTACTAGCATATGAAAGCATGAATCATTTCACACATTTTAAACTTAACATTATGTAAGCTCTTGAACAGAGGTGGAAAAACCCATTTTGATGGATGATAACATTTATTTCAAGCTTGAGTTTGACCAAAAGAAGATAGGCAACACAAGTTATATTTTCTGTGGCTTTTATATCTGCTTGTGAGTTTAACATTCAGATAAAATACTAGCCCCACTGTAAAAAATATTTTTCAACATTAGTATTTAATTTTGACTTGAATCCCCTGACTCTGCTCAGCCCATCTGGGGAAGATAAACTCAGGTCTTCAACTTACAAAGGAACAGGGATGGGACATACAGAACTTTCCTCAGCTGCATGTAGCAGAAGTAACCTCACCAAACTTCTTATTTTGGGAGGACCTGCAAATACTGTACCCTCCTCAGCCCTTCTCTATGTGGACTTGGGTGAGAGTGACCATAGCAAGTGGTGCATTGCCCTCTCACCAAGCTAAAGGCTAACGAAAAGGGGTGTTGGGCTGCTCTTGGCATCTCCTGAATGGTTTTGTGGTAGCTTTTCCTTTCTCCGGAGCCAGACTTCCCATGTCGCTTCTTTGGGAAGCAACCCTGAGCTGCGGTTCATACAGAGGCAGTGTCGGGATGGGATGAAGCTGTGCCCCGAAGCGTGAGCCCCGGGCTCTGCTTTCCTGTTTCCTGACACCTGCTGCCAGGAGAGACTTTTTGATGTTGTTCCCCGTGTTCCACTACGTGGGCATTTCGTAGCCAGGTTTGACAGTGCAGTCCCTTGGATTCCAGCCGAATGGATCACTATCAAAGCCGTATCTTTGCTTTGCAAACTGACGGGAGGCTCGAGGCTATACATCGAGGCTCAGCTGAGCATCCGCCTCAGTCTGAGGCGCCTAAACCCTCACGTACGTGCTTTAGAATAACCCTGTGTTACAGATGGCGGCCCAGCCTTCTAACTACATCTGCTTACTATGGCTTAGCCAACAGACGCGATCGGACCGAGAAGACACTATTTCATTACGACATCAATATTTACTTATGCTGAGGCCCGCCCCCCCCGGGCGGGGCGGACAGAAGACTACAGCTCCCGGCAGGCTCTTCCCGGCGTGCTCCCTTCGGGCACTGCGGCAGGAACAGCGGCGGGAAGCGCTGCTGCGCCCGCCGGAAAGCGTCCCGGCCCCCGGAGCCGTCCCACCGCCCAGGCCCGTTCGTGCCGCCCAGGCCCGTTCGTGCCGCCCAGGCCGCTCCCCGCCGCCCAGGCCGGTTCCCGCCGCCCAGGCCCGTTCGTGCTGCCCAGGCCGCTCCCCGCCGCCCGCCATCCCGCGCTCCGCCATCCCGCGCTCCGCCATCCCGCGCTCCGGCCGCCCGCCCGCCGCGCCATGACGGACCGCTACACCATCCACAGCCAGCTGGAGCACCTGCAGTCCAAGTACATCGGCACGGGGCACGCCGACACCACCAAGTGGGAGTGGCTGGTGAACCAGCACCGCGACTCGTACTGCTCCTACATGGGCCACTTCGACCTGCTCAACTACTTCGCCATCGCCGAGAACGAGAGCAAGGCGCGCGTCCGCTTCAACCTGATGGAGAAGATGCTGCAGCCCTGCGGGCCGCCCGCCGACAAGCCCGACGAGTCCTGACCCTCCGTCCTCCTGGTCCCGGCCCTCTCCCGTTGTGGTTCCCGCGAAGGACTGACCGGGAGAAGCCTCGCAAAATGCCTGCCTCCGGACTCTGACTGTTCGCCTTTTTTCAAGTGGAATATAATAAAGCTTCCTGGGCATTCCTAATGTTTGGTTTGGTAGTTTCCTAGTACGAGCTTTTTGTTCCCGCAGGAGTGCTGGTGCTCGGTATTGGGCGTTTCAATGGAACCATCCGAGGTGAAAGCATCGGATACCCCTAGACAGCATTTCTCCGACCGGGCGGATTGATGCTTGCTTACAAAACTCAGTTTTGTGGGGAGAGAGGGGAACTTTGTTGATACTCAAAGGGTTTGATGTCTTGGTAATAGTGTTATATGGGGTGGTTTGTGGTGTAGCATAAGCCAGTTCCACTAGTACTTAAGAATTCCAAAATGGCTTTTCTTTAAACAATTTTCTTACCTCATTTTCCTCTTTCCAGTACCTCTGAGCTTTTCAAACCTTGCTTCTTTCTGATACAAATTAGCTATTTTTTTGCCTTATGCTTTCTAGTAACCTAGCATTCAAGTTTTTCCTACCTTACATCAAATGAAGATACTAGTATTGGGTTGGGCTCTGTTAAAATGGAATAAGAATAAAAGGGTTACTCACTACTGCTTCGAAGTAAAATGCTCTGAGCTGACACAGTCTTGGATCACATTGCATGCCGAACAGATGCTGATTCTGATTTGTCACTTAAAATAGGCTTTCTATTCACTTACAGTAAAAATAAATTTTGGTTCTCATAGATGGAAAGACCTCAGCCCCAAGTGAGATATATTCTTGGATAAATAAAATATTCTAATTTCTGTCATGTTTTTTTGTATTAACATTGGAGGGGAAAGCCCAGCATTTTGTGGTCCTATTAAGACACTATGCAAGCTTGTCAGTGATTATTTTCTGAAATCAGTGCTCTCAAGTCAGTACATCCATCTTCTGAAGAATTCAGAGATAGCATTTTTCAGACTTTGTTGTGTGTATTAAGATGAGGACATGGATGAAGTGGTCGGAAAACATTTTACCTTCAAGTTTTTTGGGGAACTACTTCAGTTCACAATAAATGACGGGGGGTATGTAGAAAACTGGTTTTCAATCTGCCTGCAAGCTAGTGCAGGTAATTTGAAGAACATCTGTTCCTCACATACTGGGCAACATGGCTGAAAGTTTTCTGTAAATTGCATTCAAGCACTTAAGCACAGGCATGCAAGGCAGTCTTGCAGTGATTGCACAAAATATGCATCTCATTAAAGCAAGTTCCCCGCTCATTTTAACAGTTCCGATTAAAAGTCTGCTCTATTACCAAATCTTAGAACCTTGCCTTCCATAAAGCATCTCCTCAGCTGGCAGCCAGCGGGCAGTTGGTGTGTGCAACAGTGGGTGACAAAGGAACTTGAGCCTTAGTACTGGGCCTTTGCAGATGGAAAAGTTGGGCTGAGGATAGCAGGTGCTTTTGTAGTGGCTTGCAGGCTGAACTTACAATGTTTTGTGAAGTCTTGAATCTCCTACAATAAGGACATACAGAAACCATGCATTTTAATCACTCCTGCATAAATTAGAACTTGAACTATTTCACAGATTTCTCTTAAGATAAACTAACAGTTAGCTCTATCTGTGGATATTATCAGCACATTTTAAAATGTGAGCAACAAATATGTGACACATAAGTAAATATTAATGCTCTTTTGCAGGCCAACTCTTTGCTGTAAAGGCCAAACAGCCCTCAGGAACAAGTCAAGATTTACGTGGTGAATGAACTTGCTACGTCTTCTCACTATACTTGCTTGGATCCTAGTTTGGAACATACCTCTGTTTTAGCATGCTTGAAAGATGTTTTTGGAGGGTCTGTACTAAGTAATGATTATGAAACATTATAAACACTTCCTTAAGAAAATGAGAAAATGAAAGGAAAACTATAATTCCGAAGAATTCTAGATAAACTTGAAGTGAATTGGGAGACACTGAAGAGTTTGTTTCCGTACTATGGTATTTTTCCTAAACCCCAGAGCATTTAAAAAAACCAACAAAGGCAGTGATCTTTTACATTTTATTACTGAAAAGGGTAAAACCTACAAAGAACAGAGTTAATTACCTGCCCTATCAGGATGCATCTGATTTTTATCTCTATCCTGATTGAACGATAACGGATACTATTTATAAATTGGCTTTATATTTGCATTGTTCTTTTTACATCCAAGCAATATGGCTTTTAATGAAAAAACAGGTGGATACTTTAAAAAGCTGATAAAAGCTTTCCAATAGAAAAAAGTCATTAGCTTCTTCCAGTGAGGTAATTCTAAGGTTCCAAGTGTGTATTGCACCTTATTTTCACAATGGGTGAATAGAACAGCATGGGAATCCTAGCACAATACCATCACTCTATTGCTTGGAATACCCTGATCTTTTTTTATTTTCTGATTTATCAGAATGGGAGCAGTACAGTAGTTAACATTTGCACAGAGCGGCGATTGCACTAGTGAGCTGTTTTCTGCAAACTGAAACGTGGGCCTGTTCTTTCATTTTAGTTATGTTCAGCATAAAACTCAGCTGCTTTTTAAGATAATTTCTACATTATAAACTTTCATAGATGATAACGTTTATAGTATGTTTTAGCATCAAGATTTTGCTTCAGCACATGAGATAATTCCTTTTAAACGCTGAGCTATGTGAAGCAACGTTGCAGGTAACCACTGCAAAGCAACACTGACTTTTCCCCTCTTCACCAGAAATCAATCAATGCAAAACCAGCACAACTGGTTTCTGAATTCTTGTTGGAGCTCCATTGGTTCTGTGATGTTGTGCCACTAACTCCATAAGCTTCTTGTAGTAAAATTAAAAGAAAATCCACAAACAACATCCTTCCCCTCCCCTCACAAGACCTATTTGGTTTCATGGTACACAAAGAGGTTGTTTTTTTGGTTGTTAAAATTTAATACTGTAGTGTTTAATTTTAGTACTGTTGTTATAATACATCCATAAATGCATGCTCTGTACACTTTCTACTGCCCTGGTGCTAGCTTAATTGCCCCAAAGGACTTAGTTACTTTTAAAATGGATTAAACTGGCACATTAGACAATCTTGTTTGAAAATCCTATTAATGTTCCTTTATTCCTTGTCTATTTGCCATTTTCCTTCTATATTCATCTCTCTGTTCATTTAATTAGTTATGATTTAGGAGTGTAATGCAGTTCAGTGTATTCTTTGTTGCCTTTTGAAACTGAACCATCATTCTATGCTATCATGAAGAAATGTGTAAGGATGCTGACATACCTGAATGCTTCTGACTGCGCTAAAAATAGACCTAGAATAACATTTTTTCCTGGGTTCAGAACTTCACCATTTTTCATTCTCATTTTCATACCAATTTAGTAATTAATTTTGTTGGAAAAACCAACATATGAAAAACAAAATATGTTGGACTTCCCCTTGTAGCATGTACCAGAACAGTCTCTGACACAATTACTTCATAATTGGAATGTACTTTAAAATCCCCATCAAATGGCTGGAATTGTCCACCTCAGATGCATCTACTTAGACAAAGTGATTTTTGTGAAAAATAAATTTAGTCCAAATAATTGATATCCTGATCATGGGTGAATGACAGTTCAAAGTTCTTGTAAGTTGCAAAAAAAATATCCATTTTGAGGTGATATATGTGAAATTAGAATTTTAAAGCAGAATCAGAATTAAACATGACCACAGTGCACAACTAAGCAGACATCAGGTGGCATAAGCAAACAAGTTTTGTGTTTCCTCATGCTTGAGTAGTACATAAACAATGTTTTCATACAGCATTAAACAAATTTGAATCTGCTTTCTAGTTTTTTTTAAAAGGGAAATCCTAATAGTTACTAGCCTAACAATTTTCCCGTCATGTATCATCACCTACACTTGATCCTCAGATTTTTAGTATGTGTCACAGACTGAAAATTTATTATTTTGAGTAGTCTGAGCTATAGAATTAATGGAGAAGCCAGGGATATTTAGAGGAGGGAGAATGTTTTTGTTAAATGTAGTTTTCCAAAAACAAGCAGTGAGCTTCTAACATCTAAGATAAAATTAGTTAAAATTAGTTAAAATTGAAGCATATTTCTTCACATACTAACTTTTCCAGTGATAGCATGGCCCCAGTGTTTAAGTATTCATCTTAACTTTACTGTTCTGATAAGATTTCCTGCAGAGACAAGAAATGTTAGGAACATGGTGACTTGGACAGTTACAGTCCTAGTAACATTGGAATAAAAAGTCAAGGAAGAAAATAAAGCAGCCTCTTTCATCCCGTGTCAGTCCATGTTTGTGGGGGAAGGGAAGCTAAAGGGGGCTTATAAGAAACAGGGATGAACTGAAAATCAGGGTCTGTTATGACTGAAGAATGGTTTTAAACCAAAATTAGGTAGATTCAGACCAGGTTTAAGGAAGAAATTTTTTACTATGAGAATGGCAAAACACTGGAACAAGTTTCTCAGAGAGGTCGTAGATGCTCCGACCTTGGAAGGGTTCAAGGCTAGGCTGGATGGGGCTCTGAGCAGCCTGGTGTAGGTGAAGATGTCCTTGCTCATTGCAGGAGGGTTGGACTAGATGACCTTTAAAGGTCACTTCCAACGCAAATCACTTTCTGATTCTTTGATTCTTATGTGTGTGGAAAAAAAATCTTGTCTATCAAAGTGTCATAGTTCATACCTTTCAAGCTGAGCAAAATAAAGAGTACTCTGTTTTGCTCTGGAAAGGATCAAAGCTGTTGCTAAGGTTGTGGAAGTGCTCTCAGTATGTCTCTCATGTCTTTCCAGTTCAGGCCATGTGACAATGTTACTTTTTATCTGTAAAACCCACAGGCTTTCATGTCATTGTGCTGAAGGATACAGCTTTTTTTTCGAATGTCCTTCTGCTAGATCACTGTCAAGACAACATTGCATCTAAAACATTCAGGCCTTTAGCTGTTACTTCTCTGATGTCCATTTCTTAGAAAAACCATAGTGTGAAACTAATAAAACAAGTTAAAAATACTGAGGATGAAAGCTTATGTGGCACCTGCCCCTGCTTACCTCTTTTGTGGAAATCATCTTCACATTATAAGACTCAGGCAGATTCAGTGCAGATTCAGTACTTTATATTTTAAAAACCTAAGAGTGCGTTTGGTATTATCAGACCACTGTTTGTGATGGTTGAAGATATGGCAATAACTGGGAGAGCAAAGCTCACTGCTTCACCTGCAACTGCTCCACAGTGCCTTTTTGGGGCTACTTTCTGCTCTTGGGACTGGACTCTGCAAGGTACCACTGGGTCAGACTTGGCTGAGCAGGGCCTCCTTGGGCTATCCTGAGAGTGTGGCAGACTGGGAAAGTGGTCTGTGCTTTGGGAGAGCTTTGGGACTTTGCTGGGCCTTCATACACGTGTTGTTTAAAGAAGTAGATTCTGCTTTTCATTGCTTGTTAAAAAGTTTTCCTTGTAAGACACTGATTCTAAGTCAGATATCTGCATACAAATCTGTGAGCTCTGCTGCTGGCCTGGGTTGGGCCTGGGACATTGCAGTGAGGGAAGGCTTTGGCAAACAGCTCCCCCAATGCTCCACTTTGTGATTTTATTCCCAGTATTTTGATTGCTTGTTTATGATGAGGAATTAAAGGAAAGAGACTATCCATATGCTCATCAAACAAGTCACAGGAAGCAAGTAGTTCTGTAGGATCTCAGCAGCAGGATGATTTTCTGGGTGGAAAGAGCAGAGCAGTGCATGCTCACAGGCTGACCCTATAAAGCTTTGCTCCCTTGCAAGCTGGGATTTACCAACCTGCTGAGCAGAGCACTTGAACATTC